AAGATTCTGGTTGTGATGGTATCGGCCCATCGCGTTGCAAATCAGATTAAGAGCGGTTCAACTGACTGCGAATGGTATGCAGGTTACTCCGCAGTTAAGAAAAGAAGCACAGGAAACAGGCTGGATGCCCCCGATAAGACTCTGGCGCCTCGTCGAATCGGTCGTACAAGCATACGGCCAAGATAGGGCTTTGTTGAGACCAGCTCCCAGAGTATGGTATCACAGCGATATCAGCGCGTGTCTGTTATCACTTCATTTTCACTGTTCGGAATAAAAGAGCTGGTAGCAGAAATAACCGTATTGGGTAGGGGCTAGACGTGAATATAGGATGTGGAGTTACTCGGTGTGTGGAGCATTGTCTACTTCACGAGCGTCCAGTGGCCCGCATCACTGTCTTGGAGCGTTAAATGTGAGACATTCTGTGCAGCTGCAGAAAGGGCCGTCTTCTTCTAGGGAGGACTTGCTCAACTCTGGTAATCGGGGATAGACGCAGAACTCAGAAACTCGTGGATAGTTTTCTAAGGTTCGCTGCAAAATGGTCCATGCTTGGCCAGTTTCGTTGCACAAGGGAGGGATTGCAGCGCTTGAGGGATACAAATCCCAACTGCACTTAGTCATATAAATATGAAGACGGAACAAACCTCAGGCGTTATCTCGTAGGACTTGTTGGGATCGACGGCGATGCCTTGTTGGTTCAGCTGGTTATCCTCTGGTGACAGTGGTATTGGCTTGGCTTCTCTGACTCGGTCTTGAGGCGATCCTGGGCTCAATTCTCCTTTCCTCGCGGTAGCTTCTGGTCTGGGGGACCCAGGCCTGGAAGAGCTAGGAAAGGGTGAGTTCGGAAGACTTAGCATCTCTTTTTTGCGGAGATCTGCTAGCTTTTTCGGGGAATCCGGCCTTGAGTTCTGGGAGCGAGGGGAACCCGTCCTTGATTTCTGGGATCGGGGTGATCCCGTGAGATTTTCTTCCTTTTTCTCTTGAACTTCTACTCGGTTTTGTCGCGGTGTATTGAGCTTCGCTCGCTGAGAACCCGAACTCAGATCATCTCTCTTTGCACGCGCATCTTGCGGTGCAACTCTGCCTTTTTCTTCCTGTGATGTGGTCGCAAGACTTGCAGTGTCCCAGTCGTCATCTCCTTTCTGTAACTGAAATGGTCAGCCACTGGGCTACGGCAGCCAATGTAAGTCTCTTACCTGAATACCACCTTCCATGGCGCTTTCGAATCGAACAATGACTGATCACGTACGTATGCCCGCAACCGATAGAATAAATGCTCTGATACTGCTTTGATTTCTTTGATCACTCACTTATTCTAGTTGCATTGATGTGGCTTTGATAATCATTCACCGAACCTAACGAAATTGAACAAAAATATTCTCAGCAATGGTTAATTTCTGTTCCGCTTCAATTACGCTATCCAGGATGATGGTAGGGAGATCCACGTTGCAGCGGCAGAGTGACAACGGTTTAACAGTTGGCGTCGCGACCGCGGCATTCGCACCACTTCGCACTGTCCACCGAAAAACTATGTCCGAATGGAGTACGCAGTCACGCCACCCGCCCACTTCTTGGATATGGTGTGAAACTCCTGGTCGCAAAATAAAGTTGTTGTCACCCCTTGGGGAGAACGGTATGCCACCCATTATTGAATGTTCACACCCTTATCAGTGTCAGCTCGTTAATTCCTCGTTAATGCGGTAAAGTAGCTAATCGTATCAAAGGTCTCCTGCGTGAAGCACATGTGGCTTTCGACCTAAAAAGAAGACCAGAAATTTCTAGCGCTTCATGGAGAACTTGGTATCTGTTTAGATAGTAATCCAGCGGACTTCGACTGACTTTGTGTGATGGCTCACTGGTTCCTGGGTAGCCACAGCTCGGCTGAATACTCTCACAGAGACTTTGATGGTGAATGGGTTGAGAGGGAGTGAGACGAGCAAAAGGAGCACCGGCCGTGCATATAAATATATGGAATTTTATAGATCATTTTGAAACCTTCTTTCTGTAATAATCGAAGCGGGTCTGATGAGGGCTCACTCTTTAAATTCGCCTCAACGTTCCTGGCAGTTTCGATGAGTAGGGAATGAGGACGTTTGTTGAGGCCTATGAGAACAAGGATCAGATTTTTTGTGTACACCCGTGGGAGAAGGAACTCAACTGTCTGTAATAGAATGATTGGCTCCAGACGGTTTTGCATTTCGTAACCCGGAGTCATTTCTCACACCATCCCCAAGCTTTCTTAAAGACACATGGTACGATCACACATAGTTTGGGTGTGCGTGACTATCAGCCCCCCAGCTGTCGAAGCGTAGCGGTTTCCCCGTCCTAACATGCGCAGGAATGGAGATACAGGACCGTGAAACACGCTAATTCCTCCATGCTCCGCCTTATACCTTTTTGCGGCGCAGATTCCCGTTCATGCTAACATCCGTCGTAAGCGCGCGTGTCGCGTGCGGCTCCTTGGCACTTTGCCAAGTCCTATAATTGGAACTGCTAAGTGATTAACTGCTTTTGGAATACAAGTAAAACGCGATTCCCTGATGCGGATAACATTTGAGGTGCTGCAAAATAAGAACCGATGATGACGAGGGCCAGAACTCAAGAGCAACTGTGCTGCTTCTGCAACATCCCTCAGAGGCCGCGCATTCCCACAAAACATGAAAATAAAAACGGCCTAAGCGTCCCACTCGTTAGTTTGAAGTATTTCTATAGCTTTGGAGCCGGATCGCAGAAATTTACACGCGATTTTAATTAATTTGCGTTTCCTTGTTTTTTCATTTTGTTTTATTTACATCTACATTCGTTGTTCTTCCTTTGTCATCTTCATCACCTTCTATTCGGACTTTGAAGCATGAGCAACACCTCAAATGTTATTCGCATCAGGAAATTGCGTTTTGCTTGTATTAAACTAACGAGTGGGCCGTTTTTATTTTCATGTTTTGTGGGAATGCGCGGCCTCTGAGGGATATTGCAGAAGCAGCACAGTTGCTCTTGAGTTCTGGCCCTCGTCATCATCTTCGGTTCTTATTTTGCAGCACCTCAAATGTTATCCGCATCAGGAAATTGCGTTTTACTTGTATTCCAAAGCGCAATTACAGGACTTGGCAAAGTGCCAAGAGAGCCGCACGCGACACGCGCGCTTACGACGGATGTTAGCATGAACGGGAGTCTGCGCCGCAAAAGGTATTGGGCGGAGCATGGAGGAATTAGCGTGTTTCACGGTCCTGTATCTCCATTCCTGCGCATGTTAGGACGGGGAAACCGCTACGCTTCGACAGCTGGGGGCTGATAGTCACACACACCACAACACACCCAAACTATGTGTGATCGTACCATGTGTCTTTAAGCACAAGCTGTTCTGTTTATTCTCAGGGACTACGGTCAGTATGCCGACTGAGATTCAGGGAAACGTACTGCGTCCCAGCGACCTTCGCCAAACACTCCTTTGAAGTTATTAGAAGCAAAGAAAAACAAACATGGGAAAGGAATACACTCCACAACACAGATGATCCGTTTCGCTCGGTATCGCAGACGAATCATCATTGTCTAGCCAACCCCCGAGCTCATCAGTGCGATAGGTTGAAGACAAGAGGACATAGACTACATAGGGGAAGGTGTGAGAAATAGGACAAAAAGAGAGATATGCCAGTGAAAGGTACACACACGAATCTGACATCGGCTGGCATGGATAATGATTGCCTCGCCTCACAACGCTTTACCTACTAGAATTCTAATTTGGGAAGCAATTAAATCGATAGGTCTTTATTAAGAACTTAGACAATTCTAAAATCGGAAGCCGTTGCTGTGTATCGATCAATAAGTATGAACTACGATTTTCGATCTCTTTAGCGATGGCGCAAGAGCGATCGCCCAGAGGCAGTGGACATCGTTGGCTGAGGATTTTGATTGAGTCCGCATCCGCACGATCCCCCCTTTTTAGGAGGGGGGGCGGCTGGGGGCTGTCGCCGTGTGTTGGAAAATCCCCTGGCTCCCTCCTCATCGAGCTGTCGGCTGCGAAATGATGGGGGGGGGGGTCTATAGTACATATCGAGCGAAAGCGATTCCATAGCGAGTAAAATAGACCCCTGCCCCTCCCACTGCGAGGATCCCCAACAACGATGTGCTCTGCCAAGGGGTATATGTGTCAGTGAGCGAAACTGCTTGCTATCTGACCTAAGTAGTAGACATGGGTGCGTATAGTCAATTACCACAGAGTCTGATTGTTTCCGGAAGCCCTAAAACAAGGCTGTCATGAAAAGTTCCAAACGGATTTGAGTCCCGCATTTCAAATGTCGCTTACAGTTCCTTTGTATAATTCAGGTTCTGCTACATTTACGCATATTTTTTTTGTCTTTTCTTTCCTTTGAATTGACGCTCGTTCAGGCGCATGAAGCTGTGACATCTGACGTCTTACTAGTTTCATTTTGGTCAGGATACGGTGACATGAGGACGATATGTCGAACAAAGGGTGGTCAGTGTTGTTCACGCCTTCAGTGTTCGATAAATTAGCTGTTATTCGAAACGCTCAGTTGAGCGATCAGCCAAGAAGTGGACACTCAGTTGAGGTTGATCGAAAACTCGTCAATTCGGTGCAATAGTTCCAGACGCCAGCACGAGATTTGGCCAACGTCCCTTTTGACTCTGGTCTTGTACACTTTACATCCATTAGACGTGGTAGGGACAAAACAGGTATGGTTGGGCCAAACAAAATTTCTAAACTTTTACTCTGATGATCTCAGCGAGCTGCGAAAACCAGTGTGCGGTTGGTTGCCCTAACGAAGAGACTAGCCACGCTCCCACTTGTACGCCTTGATCTCGTCGACTCTGAAGTGCTGGCGCAACTTTGCGGATCAGAATGAACTTTGTTGATTCTCGTCTTGGCAGTGACTGATTATCTCCTAGGTAACGACTTTTATCAGTGCCATGTGGGACTGATCAATTTATGGAACTGAGGCACCGAAGTGCTGTCGCAAAAGTTGTAAAAGTTTTTGATTCTACCAATGTATACTATCACAGATAGACTTGGATTTTTTCATAAAGGAACTGGGCCATTCTGACCGATTTCTGATCCAGTCCAGAGAGCTTCGCTGCAGGTGTTGCGCGCACTGAGTGGGCTTCTTGACAGAGGCAAACGGTTTGTTAGGACTCCACGAGAGGTCAGCCTGCGGCAGTTTTCGCTATATGCGCGGTGTTTGCATGGTCCATTATATTTCCAACAGTCTGCTTTATTACTGCAGGTGGTTAGAAAACTCATGAAAGGAGTAGGCTCGATGTTCAACTACTAGTATAAAATAACGTTCATTTACATAAAAACAATGCTGAGAGAATACATCAGCAATTTACAAAAATTCACTTTAGGGTGAATCCTTCTTCTACCCTTGATTGTAAGATTGTAAGGGCCTAAGATTCGCGGCCAGACGGTAAAAGTGGTCGTATTAAAGAAATACAGCAATCCTTGAATAAATACAGCTGCCATTCAAGAATATTGACGTCCCAATGAATATTAGGTTTGGCAAAATGCCAAACAGATTTGCATGATGCCAGAACTATGTGAAGGGACCGGGATCTTAATCGCACGACTGTATGGGTCTCGTCCAATCAGGGCAGCAATCGCCGCGCGCGGCGAGGCGAAACATGGCAGCCGTGACCTCTCGTGGAGTCCTAACCTACACACCGCTTGACAGCTCCCTACATGCATGTTGTATTCGTGGCGCAGTTGTAGAACAGGCCCGCTATATGAGAAGTGTTCATGTCTTCTGATATGTTAATGATGAGAAAACCTGTTCTGGATGATTGTTGATGACGTGTATGATGACACTTCACAACGTCATTAACCCGTGTTGTGTGAAGGCCCGCCAATTAATTCTTCATAAACGTTCCCTATCCACTAGTACACCAGCGGTGGTGCCAGGAAATGCATGTTCTTCTGTCTTTGAAAAAATTTTAACAGATGCCGTGATAGCGTTATCTTAATCCTCCAAGAGACGTGCCAAAAAACACAGCGGGTCATGTCGCTCGCGCGGAGACCGAACATATCGCCGCTGAATGGTGAGATGATTAGCGGGTGATGGTATCATACTCAATACCTGTTTACAAGTATAAGAACTTGTAGATAATACTTCTTCTGCTACCGCTGCACTTTTTCTGTACGTTGTGGAGAAAAATTCACGAACGAGGGCTCTTTCAGGGTGCTGTTTTTGAGGTACAGTTTAAATTTGCAATGAGATTTCGAATGTGTTATGGTTTAGACGACGAGAAACTTCGGACGAATGCGGTTCCAGCGGGGGAGTTTGGCGGACGGGGGGGGGGGGTATTTCGACGTGATGACCCGTCTAGAGAGCCATTTTGTGAGCTTACAAGATTTGACATTCTCTCCCATGGCGGCTCGACAAGCTCCAGCTTCGCAGAGTTTACAGGTTTCACCAGTCTGACCACAACCAGTGGAGCAGCGAACGTGCAAAATGCTACCCTCCCTTGGCCGAACTGCGCCGACGTTTCGCTTCATCTCATCACAGGATTTGCTCATAACGCAATGGCATCGTTACTCAAGTTGCGGCGACGCGGCAAAGGCGAAATTGTAGGTGGCGCCGCGGCATTCACAGCAGGACCCATTTCATTTATCGTGGAAGTCCTGTGGAGCCTATCAGCTGGTGATTACTCGCTAATTCCTGGTCGCTGCAATGTGGATGTGGCATCCCTCATAAGAACTGGGAAATGGCATGAGCCACGTACAGCCATTATCCCTACAAACGAGAGGGCGAGTGAAAGGTGTGGATTGGAATACAGCCAGAGGGGAGTCTTCTTGTGGTTCTTATGTCTCACCCTCAGAAACATGGTAAATCTTTCATAATTCACTCATATTAAGGCGGCTCCGCATCGTTTCGGTGATCATGACGATCGGCGGAAGCCTATTGTGCCTTGATGACCTGATCGAGAGACTCCCCTCTCGCAGATTTAAAGACACATTCCACGATAAGAGGATAGTGAAGAAAGTGGGCGGAGACTCACAACCGCTGTACCTTTCTCATTAACACCCATCTCTTCTTCATCACCTCTTAGCAAAGCACGACAGTTGAGACTCTCCGTCCACTCGGTTATCGTGGACTGTAACTTCAATCCATTGATGACCGCAGTTTCTCATCCAAGATTCAAGAATTCCACGAACAACCACAACCGAAAATTCTGTGACTTTCAGGAATTCGGCACTACGCAGATGATTCTGTAATTCGCTGATGAGTGAAATAGTCACAAAAGTCGTCGCTAGTCAAGCTTTATGAGGTATGTCATACATTTTACAATTATAATTCTTGAGCAACAATGGAATAACACCCGATGTATCGCACGCGCGCCAATTTGTACAAACAACTCGATTTCAAAGCCTTGTCAGGGAGTTGAAACCATTGTATATCAAAGAGATTCACACGGATACCGTCAGCTTCGACTGGGGGCAGAGAGCGAGGAGTCGTTTAGTCGGCGCAGCCGCTCTTACCATATTTGGACACATGTCGGCCAAAGTAGTGAGTGTGTTCGTCGATGCTCGCCGTAAACCACAACCCGTCACTGCACTCTGCAGCTTCTCCTTCTAAAATGCCTCAATTATTCCAGAAAATACTGAAATCGGTCTCAGAAAATGGTTGGGAATATATACCGTTGCAGATTTTGAAATCATCTGGTTTCATTTCATTCTTGTAGAAGGCCTCTTGTCTGTGATGGAAATATCCTCCAAGAGGCCCCATGGGAATGTGAGGGACAATGTCTCGCCAGTGGGTCACACGGAAGGAATACTCCAACTGCAACAAAGTAAAGCTTAGTTTTCCCATGAGATTTGCTCTATGTGAAGGAATCGAACCTGACTGTTGTGCATTTCGGAAAAGCGGCTGTCCCCCGTTCTGGGTTGGCCAAATGTTACCAGCTTGACCTTACTGGGATCAGCAATGCGGGATCCGACCAAGAACGATGCAGCCAGGGAGGCCAATGAACCTCCAAGAGAATGGCCAGTCACCTGAAATGTCCAGAGAAGTTCTTCAATCCAGAAACGGATACATTTCGAGCACCCACCCAAATTTCATGCTGTGGGTATTGTTTCTGTAGACTGAAGAAGTTTTCACCCAAACCGGAACTCCATACATTTGAAAAGGCGTCGCTGAAGTATCTCGAAATTCTTCCCCCGAAAAACCATGAAGCCTGTAAAACGGTCCTTCAGTCTCCCGAATACCACTGTAATGTGACCTTCAAATCTGCTGAAAGTGGGTGGAACTCTTGAATGCTAGTCCGAAAGTGACCCACCAAGTTCAAAAAGACTGTCTTGTTGATCTCCTGAAGCAGCTGTTGGAGTCCTGCTGTCCCTCTGAAAAGCACCAAATAAAATCAAGCTCGTTTAACTCTCGAACAAATGTTCTAGTACCCGTCCTTGTCTTACCTGAAGCTGAGAACAATTGCCTTTTGTTCATGGAGTACGGCGGTGAATCCCGAACACGAATCCGCCTTGAACATATCGCACTGCACAGCCACTTGCCGTCCAAGCTAAACAGCAGCTCGTTATTAGGCTAGAGACTTTACCCTCTCAAGTGGGACAAATGCGCTCACTGTTGCGTTGGGGAACAGTCGGTCGAGGCATTGTTGTGGCTGATCCGAATAGGCAGCTGCACTCAGTGGAAACATCACATTCCTGGCGAACGAGTCCGAGTACTGTACAGCAGCATTTGCGTAACCGAGAAAGGAGATGACAAGCAGCAAAATCATCCTGAAATGTCTCTTCACTCTTGATTCACCTTCCCACGGATGCCTGAAGTATTGTCCGTGATTTGCCAAGTCGAAAAAAAAACACGGTGGCTGTCAAAATCGGATGGAATTTTGAACGGGAGGCAGGTCAAGCCAGCGGACCTCGTTCTTGGCCTGAAGGGTGACTTCTATTTGACCGATGTCGAGAAAAAGGAAAAGGAGCTGTTCGATTTGATGAGGCATTTTGCTGGTTCTCTTCGATCGCTGCCGGTGCCTCATGCTATAGCATAAGTCTCGTCTGCATCTGACAAGAGTCCACAGGTCCCTCCCCCTGTGTGAGATAGGCAGTTCAAGAGGAACCAGCAGGAGAAGCCATCGAAAGTATAAAACCCGCTCCCCTCCCTCATCGAAATTTCGGGCTCTACGTGCAGGAGACGCGGCATTACTGTTAGCAAGGAAAAACTGAAGAATTCTAGCGCTAACTATTCATAAGGTCAACCAAAAAGGGGGCAAAGCTTCAAAAATGTGTGCAGCCGCGGAACGGCAGGCCCGCGATACAGCGACGTTTCAAAGGCCTTCTATACAAATTGTACGCTTCTAATGCACTTTTATACGCAGTAAAAGACAGAAGATCATACGATCTCGTTATCTGAGACCAAGTGCACTGATTATCGGGCTTTGATAACCTCAAAACACGCCATCGAAGTGCCTGTCACTCCGAGACGTCACCAGCGCTCACATATCGCTGGCCCTGCAAAACACAACTATCTCGGGTATACTGTAAGTTAGGGGCGTAATCACTTTGAAATGCTAGCATTTGGGCAAACACTTAAACGGAACTGTGAAGGGGCGATTGGCTTTCCATTGAGGGCACTGCAAGTCTTTAGCGCTAGAGCTCAATGCAATTGGCAGATCCCACTATCATGCGTAAACACCTTTTTGGGAGAAAGAGGTGGTAAGTGGCCCACTTAGACCGATCGGCCCCATCCCGAGTCAAACAAGTCTTCAGGGGCACATAACTCGATCATATTTCGTTAGATACAACCTCAGGGAGGTTGAGAGGTTAATCGGGTCTCTTTATACCTGGCATCCTGGCATTCGGTAGATGGCCGACCATGCTATTAGTTTAATGAGCCACTCTCTTCACCGTATCAAAGCTTTTTTCTACCCATTCTTCTCTCCTTAGTCATGCTTTGCACTCAATGCAGCGGAGGCGTAGCACAAGGTCCATTTCCTCTTAAAGGCAGCGCCCGCGTTCATTTGTTGTTCCCACGCCCTCTTTGGATATCGTAGCTCACCCTATGAGGATGGTGGACGTACTAGTTTCGCAACTCAAAAATGCGAGAGAAGGCGCCCGCTCGTGAAGAGTCGGCCACCCCGCCCACCTGGCGACCACTACGCCCAACTTCATTTCTAATGGTTGCCTGATGGTGCGGTTGTTCTGCTACTAACCTCTCTCCACGTCGAATGGTGAGAGTGAGGTGATAAGGGAAAACAGCTGATACCAACAAGTGAGAACTCGTGCGGCCGCGCCTTCTCTTCGCCTTAAGCACGTACAACCTCAGCTCGGCGTGGGGTCCTATATAGGGCATATCCGATGATTTTTTGCATTTTCTTCACTAATGAACTACTTGCTACCTTGTTGTCACTGTCTGAGCCCCATAACTTATCAAATTGAACGCGGGCGCTGCCTTTAAGACCAACAGTTAGATGTGACGTCTAATCCCTGTGACGTCACTAGTTGCGTCATCAGCGCATAATGTTACGTGTGCAGTCCGTGCAAGGGAGAGGGCACATGAAGGGACGTGGACTGCGGCACAACTACGGCGGCCTATTCCACCAATTGTGGGCCGTCCTGAGCCGGCAACAATTGGTGGAAAAGGCTCCCCTGGCTTCGTTTGCCAGCTCAGGAAGGCACCAGTTGGTGAAATGCTTCTGTGGCTTCGTTTGCCGCAATGAGGACTACACTTGAGCTACAATGATGTTCTTGATGGCACCGAGTGATGCAGGCCAGCGAGACTGGGAACTTGCCAAAGGAGGAATAGGCGGTCTAGGAAACTGAAGAGTTAGTGAAAGGACAAGATACGAATCGATCAGCTTGTCAGCGCTCCACCTTTCTTCTCTTATTTTGAGCTATGAGCGTGGGATGTACTTTCCAAGCGGAACAGTCATGGGTGCGTTCATCTCCTTGTTGGTGAGCTGATTTGGCGTTAAACCAGTGCACTACGCCTTTGGGACTTGTTTTCATCTGCCCTTTCCTGATCTTTCGGGTCGGGCGGAAAAGTCTTGTCATAATACTCTGAGTCAAGCTTCTTGTGGGAAAAGGTCCAACATATCCACTGTTCTTCTTTGTAGTCCTTCCCAGAATTCGACCGCCTTATGGCTGCCATCGCTTCGCAACGCAGGATGGTGCGACATAGACCGAGATTTGAACTTCATCTCGATTTTGGCTTGAGTTTGCGTCGTTGAGCATCCCTTGAACAAGATATGTAGTTGGAAAACAACTAGCACTTGTAAGGGGCTATTTCTGGGCTATACCGGGGCATAGGAAGAGGCATCCAGCTGCACTGAATCAACTTCAGTGTGATTTCCCCGCATGGTGTGGTCATGTTAAAGACAGACAACAAGCTGTCCGGGTGAATGTTTCTCATCGCTAGGCAATCTGCTTCAGATTTCGCAGCTGCGTTGTGTGGGGAACATATAAGCAGCTCCTTTACCTAACACTCGTGGTACTGTAGAGCTTTGGTGTTTTGGACTGTGGTGAAACCAAACCAGTTCCGTTTCTTACAACCCGGTGCTACCTGTATCAGAAGATCGCTGGAGCATTTATTCAATATTTCATTTGCAATCTGCATTGCTTTAGGGTGGTGTGCGTGGTCTAAGCAGCTGTCATTATTGCATTATTGTTCGAGAGTTTCAAGTTCAGTTTTTCTGCTGGAAATATGATGAATCTTATGCTCAAAGGAGGGAGCTGGATGCTGTCGAAAAACAACTTGGTTTGATGGCGGGTGTGTGTTGTCTCACTCATCCTTCTGTTCCCTCGTCCTGCATCTCTGCTCCCTCTGCGCTTCCGGTGTTTCGTCGATCCTCATTTCTTCGCTTGGCTGTCTAGGTCCTTGAAATCAGCCTGAAAATGAACACCTCATTCTTCACCAGTTCTTCTATTCACCGCTTAGCAAATTACCTTTGTCATCGTACTCAAACCCCTCTACCCATCAATCGCGGAAATTGTATCTGATTCTTGATTCTAGGGCTCCGAGGTAGTCCAGTTTGATGTTGCTTTCGACAGTTCGCGATAAGCATGTTTTTTTAAGGGAACGTTTGAGGAATGTAGCCGGGTACGGACAGAGCGTAGCACTGAGGCGCCGATAACATCTATGCCTGTGATTTTCTGACTTATGGTCTGATTGTGTGGCAAAAAAACCTGCCCAGCTTTCTCTTAACACACTCGAAAAGTTGTATGCCCCTTCAAGATAACCAGAGTCTTCGCGATGGCTTATGGATTCAATTGTTGTGATTATTTGATGTGCGAAGCGAACACTGTCTTGATCCTGGAATATTACTTACCGTGGGCACGATGATTTGATTCTCGGTCCAAAACGGAAGTAGCTGCGCCGAATAGTGGGACAGCAAAGAGGAAACGGGAAGAAACTGCCGGAAACGCTGAAAGAGAGCCTTCATCCCTCTCGATTTCAAGCAACCGCAAACTTCAAAATAATGACAGTGTTTCCAACAAAAACAAGGACCCATTAAGGCTTTATCGTGGAATGCCGGTCGTGTGTTAAGTCTTGCTTAGTAATTTATGTTTTACTTCTGAGCCAACGAGGTTTGTAGGTGGAACTTTTTTAGAACGTACAAAATAAAACAAAACAAAACAAAGGCCTACAAAACAAATTAAAGTTACACCTACAAACCTCGTAAAACATCAAATTTACAACAATGCCGAGGTCATACGAAGAGAGAAGTTGGAGACTTGCTAAGTATCTTCGAGAGTGCCCATTAGTTGCAGTTGACGTGGGGGGGGGGGGCATTTTGCACATTCACTGCTCCCGGTTTACAAGTCTCACCCTGGTGAACTCTTGTGAAGCTGGAGCAAGCTCGTCTAGCCACTATGGTAAAACGTGCCAACTCGAGAAAGGTTGTCCGGATGGGTCAACTCGATGCGAAGCAAAATGCCCCTCACCAAACTGCGCCGACTTATCACTCTATACATGCGTATTTGCATTGTATTCGCTCTTTCGTGACACCCTATGCAGCAGCGCTCATTCGTGGCCACGCCTTTGTTTGTTCCGAGATATGTGCCATACGTGCAGTTATTGTGGGAGCAACGTTGTAGAATTAACGCTGTTACGCTCTAACCATTTGCAGCTCCTCCTCAGAGAGAAAACCCGCCGTCTTGGTACTTGCCGGATGACGCTACGGCGATCGTGCGGCGCTCCCCTCGACTAACTGTGAGGGAGAGGCGTTCTTCTCAGTCATCTCCGGAATTCAGTAACTACACTGCTCCACATAATGATAGTTCCACCCATAAATCTTACAAAATCCCGTCTTACATGAGGTTTTCAAAAATGTCCTCAAATAGAAAATGAGGTAATAATCAATACCAGTTTGCATGTCAACACCGGAAACTAACTTGAAAGAACAAGTTTTTTTTGTTCATTTTTTTGAAAAGTGGTCACTCTGACAATTCCACAAAATGATAGTTCCACCTCATGTTTTGTCGCTGCGTCTCATTTTTGTTGGGTAAAACTGTCTCATCATTGTGACTCTTTGCCTTTTCTAGGCTATGGCAAGAGGACATTCATTATCGGATTGAAAAAGGACAGATAATCGCAAAGAAGACTCAAGGACTGTCGAACCGTCAAATCGCACGAGATTTGGGCCATAGTCATCACGATATGGAGTTGATAAGAGCTCTGGGCGTCCTTTGCTCTCTGATCGGGATAAGCGCCGTATTTTGAGAGAAGCATCAAATTCTCCAATGTCGTGCCGGGAAATAAAGTCAACTTCGAAGCTCAACG